CAACCACGTTTCTCTGCATTATTGAACCTCCCAAATAGCTGTACAATTTTTGGCCATTAGGCAATAACAAGCAAACATTTTTAATTCCTCTTTCTGCTGTGGTCCAAATCCATTCTCCTCATAACAACAACCTGGGAGGTAGGATAAAACTCCCCAGTCTGCATGAGGCTGAGGCGGAGGGCGAGAGTCACCTGGCATTGCTCAACAAGGCAGGGTGGCGTGGCCTTCCAGCCCAGGGTCTCATCATGCCTCCCCTCCCTTTTCTCCTCTCTTCCTCTTGTCTTTCCTGTCCCCTTCTTCTTCAGTTAGTTTTCACTATAAAGAGGAGCCTGACTGCAGCTTCACCCTCCCCTTCCCAGGGACTGTCGCCTCTGGTCTGGGCCCCTCAGTCCTGTTTGTGTGGAAAGACTTTTGACAATTGCAGCACAGCCCAGGCTGTCCCCTGTCAGCACATCAAAAGTCTTCGTGAAAGTAAAAGACCTCCTGCCAGAAGATTGCCCTCTTCTCACCCACATCCCATGTGGTGTTCAAGGTGTAGTGTTAGGTGCCATATGCATTTGTAAAAGCGTGCAGGTGGGAGAGGGAGACTAAATGCTCCTCCATGGTGTCCCTTGGGAGTTAGGGACAATAATCAGAAGCCAAAGTTTTTAGCTTAAGCCAAAAACAAAAAGCCCTCCTAAGCTCTGAGCCTCACACTGTTGTCCCATAGGACACAGTTCACTTCCCCTCTTGGGAATTCCAGACCACTTCCAAACACCTTTAAAATATTTTTTTAATTCATACACCAACAGAAAGCAAATTAAGTCTGTGTGGGCGTGCAGACAGTAGAGAATGATTAACGCCAGTGCCGGTGGACCTCCCAACTGGCTCCCAGACCCTGCTGGAGTAAGCAAGTCACAAGTATGAATTTCCTGCAAAATTGCTGCTGAAGTACAGGGGGGTCCCTTCCAGATTTAATGAAAATGTCTACATGACTCTGCAGAAAAGACATTATGCACTTACCTTTATGACTTTGATAAGCTTCCTTACAGGTGTCAGGCCCCAGACAATAATGTATCTGACCCCAGTATTACTAGGATGTCCGGGCTTTGGAAGGGTGTGGGGTGAGGGTTGGCCACGAGGCAAAGCAGCACAAAATTAACAACAGGAGCAGAGACTCTCACAAAAAATATGCCAGCAGAACATTCTGGAAGCGGAGGCTTGAGGCTGAGAGCAGACCGTAAAGCAATGAACAAGGCACCTTTTCGGGATGAACCTGGACTCAGTGCAAAAAGACACAAAGTGGGAGGAGGGAGGAGAATGGGGGCTGGAAAAAAAAAGAACCGTGGGCCACAAGTGTTCCTCTGCCAGGGCACCGAGTTCCTCGGAGGTCCAATGCAGCAGCTCATCATCCTGGAGCCTGGTCATCAGCCAATGCAAATCACGTGTGAGGCTGAGGTGAGCAGAGAGAGCAGGGAGCGGGGCAGGGGGCCGGGGTGGAGAACTGCAGGCAGGTAAGTGCACCATCAAATTGGAGGCCTCAGGACAAGTGAAAGGAGTAGTGTTAGGTGTAAAACTGGTGCCAATCCCACTGGAGCTTGGGCTGCTTGGGGGTGAGGCCTGTCAGGGGCCCTTCCCCGAGGGGAGTGAGGGAGAGGGGGGCCTCGGCGAACCCCTAAAAAAGGCTCAACCTTATAGGTGTGTAGAGGGAGAAGGGAAGTTAAGAGCCCCGCAGGTTCAAGCACAGCCCTCCCCTGGTGGGCTGGGACTGGGGGTGGGGTCTCAGCAAATGCAAGTCTCCAGATAGGCAGAGATCTCTTCAAGGCCATGGGAACCTCTTCTCTCTGTTTCTCAGCCGGGGCCGGTTCCAGAGTGGGGTGGGCAGGCCAAGCATATATTGGAAGAGAGGTATCTCAGAGCTAGGCCTCCGGGGTCCAGGAGGTTCCTTGGGTGTGCAGGACCGGTGCCAAGCGAATGAAAAGGACACAAGGGGACAGCTGGTGAGCAGCTGGTTCTCCACTGGAGTGTGGCAAGAGACCCTCTCCAAAACTCTTCAATGTTAGCCACTTGCCTTACCCCTGGACCCCACCAAACTGAAAGCCAGACATTCATTGTCCTCAAGGCAGGAATTCACGCTTGTCTTACCAACACTTGTCTACCATCATACCCTCAGGGATCGTGCCAGGTAACATCACTCCAAATAAAGGATTCTCAAATTTCCTAGTTTTCCAAGTTATCCCAAAGAATCAAATTTGTTGGTGTTTTAATGTGTGAAAAATAAGTAAATGGTAAGTTTTCATTTAGTAAAATAGAAAGGTCAAAGAAGATATTCTCTTCTTCATCCTCAGGCCTGGTGATCAGTAAAATAGGTAGGACACTCTGTGGGTGCTTTCTGGAAAAGAACGACCTTTTACAAGTATAGATGGAAAGTTAGCATTGGAGTCTGGTCTGAGCATACCGCCATGCAAGCTTTTTTTTTACATTAAGATACTTATTTGGTGGTAGAGAACAGCTGAGCCAGTTCAGGTAAAGGCACCATACAGGCTGAGGTTTCCTGTATTGAAGCTAGGAGGTGATTGTCTCTCCTTCCTTCTTCTGTTGCTGGGTTATCCCCTTATTCACTTCTTTCCACAAGATTATAGGTCTTGAGCTTTTCTTTAATAGGATTTTCCCAGCTGCATATAGTCATTTTCTTTCTGTAATCACTGAGCCCTGCTTTTTCATCCTGCCTTGTATTATTTTTAGTTATTTTCTTTTGACTTCTAAATTACCTGTAGAATTTGATATCGTAAACAGAGGTGTTTTGTAATGAACATTTTTCATCATCCCAAAGTTGGAATCAGCAGGAAGAGGAATGTTCCGAGGACTTGGGTGGTGGGCTCAGTTTTAAGGTTAACTAACTCAATTTAAAGAGCTGATCCTGCCAGTTCAGAGTTCAGGGAAGGATCCCCTGGCTGGGCTCTGTGCTGACAGCTCAGAAGCCCTGGAGTTCAGCCAGCATCTTGGGTGTGCCCCTCCCCTGCTTGCACTCCCCTTTCTCTCTAAAATTAGTCACATCTTAAAAATTTTTTTTAAAAAAGTGGGGACACCGGGTTTGGTGGCGCGAGGCTCTGTTGTTGTCCGACTCTCAGCCAGGTCACGACCGCAGACCCGGTGAACTGGCAGCTCCTGAGCCCCTGCTGGCTCCTGGCTGGACAATCAGAGCCTGGAGCCTGCTTCCTATCTCTGTGTTCCTCTCCTCTGCCCCTCCCCCTGCTCATGCTCTGCCCTCTCTCTGTCCCAAAATAAATAAATCCAGAAAAAAAAAAAAATTAAAAAGGGACACCTGGGTGGCCTTAGCTCATGTGGGTTGCCTGACCTTTATTTTGGCTCGGCTCAAGGATCACTTTTGTTTAGAGTTGGAGCCCTGTGTACTGGCTGCTGAGGCAACGGTTCTGCTTTGGGATTCTCCCATCCTCCCCGGCCATGCACCTCTCCTTCTCTAAAATAAATAATAAACTTTAAAAAAAGAAAAAAATTTAAAAGAGTGGAATAAAATTCAGAAGCGGTGACACAGCCTCAGCAGAGGCCATCATTGTCTAACACTGGTGTAGTCCCAATTAAGAAGAAGGTGATCAGGGTTTATGGAGCCTCCAGCCTCTATGCTTCAGGGGTTCCTTCCTAGAGGGAGTGGTCCTATGTAGCTAGTCCCAGTGAAAAAGAGTTCAGTGCCATCTTCTCTTTTTTTTTTTTTTTAAGATTTTACTTTTAAGTATTCTCTATATTCAAGAGATTGGGACTCGAACTCACAACCCCAAGATCAAGAAGCTGCATGTGCTCCTCTCAAGCTGCTGGAGCCAGCTGGCCTTCAGCCACCTGTACAGATCCCCGGAAAGTTCACCCCTCCATGGGGAGGTTATAGGAATTCTCTCATCCCCACTGTCCACTGGATACAGATTTCCACGATTAACTATTTACGCCAGATCAGACATTTGCATCAATGCCCTTTCAGTTTGAGTCCTGGGCACCAGCCCCTGCTGAAACTTTCTCTTTAGGCCTTGTGGTTAATCACTTTTCAGCCCAGGGCCAGCCACCTGGGACTCCCCGGCCACCTCTGCACAGACGCAGAATAGCCCCCTCAGGCACGCAACTGAACTCCAGCTGCCAGAGGCACCCTTCCCAAGCCTGTCACCCCATCCCATCCCCAGGCACACCAGCCACTTAGGAAGCAGGGCATCCCTCATGGCATTATTCTGGCTTGTCGAAACCATCAGCCCATTTCAGCACGACGTTATATTAGCTAAAAGCCTATTCTAATCCTACACACAGCTCCTTGCATGTGAAAAATTACTTCCTCCCCTCGCTTCTCTGAGATGGTAGGCAGCCATAGACCAAAAAAAAAAAAAAATGTCTCTAAATACATGTCTCCCTATTGTAGGTGCCAGATAGATTGCCACACACTTCTGCCATCCATGTTTCCCTCTCCCGGATAGCTGGCCAGCCCTCCCCACTTTGTCTTAGGACCCAATGAAAAATATCTTTTCCCGACTCCTCCTCCCACAGCCCTTATCTGTCACATCTTAATCTCCTGAGGTCTTTTCTGTCTCCTCCTCATGTCCTGGCTGGCGGCGGGGGGGGGGGGGTTCCTTGGCTCACTTTCCCGC